GCTTTTAATTTCAATTAGAAAAACAATGATGTATATAATGACACAATTTCTTAGAATTTTGTGACTTTTTGTACAACATATAATTTTTTTATTGTTAATATTTACTAATAACTTGTTATATAACTGTAAATAATATAAAAATGTTACAAACTAATTTTAAACAAATTTATTTACGCATTCACAATGCAGTCATTTTGTCAGCTTTTGGGCAATATAGGTATACACTAATTTTTCGTCTTTCTAGTGTTAAAATCAAAAATTACCGAATCATCGCCAATTAAAGCGTTACATACCGGTGAACATCTACTCCGCGAAAGTTAAGCTAACTCTGCCTCTGAATCATTTTAGATCGGTTTCTTGACTAAGAAGGCTAGATAAAACGTGACACCAGTTAATTCCAAATTAGAGTAGACAAAATTTTATTCTATGAAAATAAGCTTAAATATATGTATTTCTGTTTTGTCTCTTTTCAAACAAAATTATATTCGATGAAAAACATTAAAAATCGTCTGCGAAAACAAGCGAATAGTAAGCGCAAAATCCATTAAAAACGCTCCTTTATTAACGAGTTAGAATAAAATAAATAGACCCCCCATAAGTTTTTTAGTTATGTCTTCACAAACATACAAAAAATACGAAGATTAAACGAAAAAAAAGGAGGAACGCATAAACTGTAGAGCTAGTCCATTCAAATTCATTAAAGTGCCACTTGGCCAGTTCTACCACTAAGCTCTTCATATCTATGTTATTCCTTTTCTGTAAATCCTTTTCTTAATTTATTATTCAAAACGAAACGCTTTCTCACACTTTTAAATTCACATCCAGTCCTTTAATCTATTTTTGGTTCAAGTATGCCTTAATTAAAAGAAAGACATTTTCCCCTTCGCTCATGGTGGGAATCGCGCGACCTATTTGATAAACCAATTACAATTACTAAGATTTCCCTTATTCCCTAAATCGAGACATTTTACGGGATTTTCTGTGAAAGATTTTCCCTAACATTCGTTTCCCTAACATTCGTGCAACAGCACGACGAAATTGTGACACACTCTCTCTCGTCGTTCATTTCATAATGTTCTTTTTTAAATCATGTGTGCCTGTTCTGCTCGCACGAGTGCTATCATTACATATATATACAACAGTGTATAATACAATTTGAATCTAAAATTGTGCACTATAATTTCTAAAATGCATTAATGAAAAAAATAAATAAGTAATTAATTAATCTTTAAATTGAAACAATGCATGCATTACTTGATCTCATAATAATCAATTTATTCCCTAATAATCAGTGATGCCACAGGCGAATATTTATGTAGAAACTCAATTTACTTTTATTTATTATTTCTTTAAATGTGGCTTAAATTTCACCACTATGGCATAAATTTCATATTATTCATACACAAATACTTTTTGCATTCACTTTTAATAGTGAACTGAAAAAAATATGCAATAAAAAGTGACTAATTTTAATCAATTTTAATTTAAAAAAATTTTTTTTATTAGTCAGCACTTTTTGTTTGTTCAGTCACCCGTGGCAGCCCTGTATGAATCGATCCCATAGAGCATAAATCCGATTCATGTATGATAATTATGATTAACTCTTCCAGCAAATTATACCCTGATTTGCCATTTCCGAAAGAAAAACATTATTCCAAAAATACTCTAATTTTCGAAAAGGAGAGCAAGACATTATTGCTCAGAATAGCAAAAATAGATATCTAGTACTTCAAATCTATCTAATAAATCTACTTAAAGAGAACTGATCTTGCTGAGTAACGTAGGAACGTTGTAGACGAAATATTGGATTATTCAGCCAAAAAAGTGTGACTCGTCCTTTTAAAGCTACAATGTTTTTTTCAACCTTTCATCTCTTTCACTGTCTGCAGTTATGATATTACGGTAAGAGAAGTTATTTTTGGAAATATTGATGCATGGTAAATCTTTTTGTTCTCAATCTATAAAACTTAGGCCTGCAATAGGATTTACAGAATACTTTTAGGTTATAAATCTGAGCTTTTGTTAACACGTTCACGCCGGGAAAACTATTTCAATATTAGATAATATTCGGGAGGTGTTAATCTATTCTCAACAATAACAATTCACTGTAAGGAAATTCATCACGGCGAAGAAGCAATTCAATATAAAAATTGCATCCGTTAAAAACAATTGGTAGTTATGGATTTTTATTATTCCCGGAAAAAAACTAAAAAATGAAATTTATTGCTACCAGTTTTTACTCTGGTGAGCTGCCAAGATGAGACAATCTAGCGTGACCCACCGGTGGGTCACCCCGGTGTGAACGTCTTAAAGGAATAATGCATTCACTTTATTTAACCGATTAATGCTCTTCAGCGTGGCAAATATTTTAAAAACTGGTGGCAAATATTTCACGACACTGTTGGAAATTATAATTTAATTTTAACTTTAGGAATTAAATCGAGCAATTCTAATATATTTCCTATATTAATGATAATGATTCTTATATTCAGGGATCGAAGCCTCCTCCTATTTCCTATAAAAAAAATTTAAAAAAAAAGAAAGAAACAAAACTTTGCTTTTAAATCAAATTCAAATACTTTACTTTCACTTTCATTTAAAAATAACATTGCAAAAATATATAGAGCTAAATTTTATTACTTAACAAATGCCTCATTTTACTCAAAAAAAAAACTCTCTTACCTAGATTTCTATTTAAATAGGTTATTTATATTGATCAGATATAATAATACATAGTAACTCTTTTTTTATGCCAAGTCAACGTTATTTTTTTTGCACCCAGGCCTGAAAGCAAGGCGGAAAAGAGAAAACACTGGTAGTAGAACTATTTCAAAAATAGTTAATTTTCGGGAGGAATAAGCCTATTGGTATCAATAAAAAATTCGCGCTATTATTTAATTCTCGGGGAAGAAGTAATTCAATATCTAAATTGCGTCCGTTAAAACAATTTGGTAGTTATGGATATTTTGTTATTCCCGAAAAAAAGCTAAAAATGAAATTTATTTGTTACCATTTTTTACTCTTTTCCGTCTTGATATTATGGACTTTCAGCCCTGCTGCAACCCCGGAGGAGCGTTTTTTGCGCTCAAAGTCCTCCTGCATAAGAAATCAAAGCTTGATCTAGCAAATAAAAGAACTATCTAGATACAAGCGATTCGACCAATTCTTACGTATGCTTGCCCAGCCCTCACTACTGTAAGCAACAACCTAAAAAAGAAGCTATCTACAACCGAAGGTAAATTTTTACGCATAATGACTGGCGCCCCAAGGGCTATTTGCAATAGATTACTCAGAAAAGACTTAAACATTGATGATATCAATTGCTTTATAGCTAAATTGACCACAAAATTTTACAGCGACGCAAAAACATGCACCACATCAGATTTCAATAAATTGTTCGATATTGATATAATCCGTGATAGTTCGAATTTCAGCCCAATTACCGCCTTTTTATGCTCAGACTGCATACTATCAAAATACTATAAACTTTATCATACAACTCTACTCAAGGGGATCTCCCCATTCCAAAGATGATTTTCCCTTCAAAACTAAAGATTTACTTCTTTAAGGACTTGATTTGTTGTTACAACATACTACAACTTCAAAGATATATAGGACCTCCCAGAATACAACAAAACAGAATCGATGAATCAGTTAGTGGCGCTTCGCGCCAAACGCCGAGATAACCCCAATATCCAGCATCCAGGTGGAACCCCTCACTTATCTTCTAAATTGAAAACCCGTATGTGCTGCCACCTCTGTTTTGAGTGTTATACTTAACGTTGCATTTACTTTTTCTGTGCAAAAACTATAGACTTAATAACTTGAAATTACAAAGCAAGGTGACCTGGAAAAGTTTAAAAAGTGGTAAAAAAAAATTTTATGAATTTATCGTACATTTTATTGGCTTTAATTTCACGTCAATATTAAGCAGTCAGTTTGTAAGTTCTAACACAGCTATTTAATTCATAGGCATTTTTGGTCAATAATAAAATCTTCATTTCGTTAGCTCAGGCTTTACTTGATATAGAAAGTAAGAAAAGAATGAAATAAATAAAATGAAGAGATTAGATCTTCTTCTTTATTTAACTTAACCAGGCACCTGAGCCGAGTAGCGGCCCCTATCCCTTCTATCATGATTTTATCAGTAGATGTAGTAAAAACATTTTGTGTTCAGTCGACTGTGTGGTGGCTGATTTCAAAGTTCCAGCACCTTGCTTGTGAAAATAAAGCTAATGGAAATTGTAAGCAGCAGCTTGCTCTAAATGCTGTATGCAGTTTGATGGTCAACGTGAGGAAACGCTTGGTCAGGTTTTAGAATTGCTATCGTATTTGCTATTTTGAATAGATCTGTATACGGTTATTATTTATGTTGATAGTTATGATATGAGGCGTCGGAGGTGAAATGTGCAACTATTGGTCTTAATTTTGCATCTTTTTTTATAATTTTCAAAGTTGAATATTTGGTTGAAGTTGACTGCGTTACATTTTGTTGCCTTGTCACAGAAATCTGCCTTCAGTTTGTGTATATATATTCTGATAAACACGGAATCTTGAGATCTTTGTGGATATTAGTGCTTCTGATGGCACGGGTGATTTTTCTAAGTATCTTGTTTTGACATTGATTGAATTTTTTCATTAGATGTTCAGGTGTCCAGGAAGGTGAGGCATATGATGTGAGTATTGGTCGGATCATTGGAGTATGCTATAATTTTCAGAGTTTTAATGAGAGGTATAGATGAGTGGTTGAATTATAGTAGTTGCTGCATTTGCTTTATCTGTTATATTTTAAATATGATCATTCCAGGCGAGTTTGCTGTTCATAATGGAACCGAGGTAGTTTGTTTCTTCGACTATTGGAATTTGGATGTTGAACAGTTTTGGTTTGCATTGGAGTAGTATTTTCAGTCTTCTTCTTTGTATAATTAGAATTTGAGATTTATCGGCATTTGCAGCAGTTTTCCATTTTGTGCACCAGTCTTCTATTTCGTGGATTTGATCTTGTAGTTTTATTAAAGTTATATTTGGATTTCTAGATTTGATAATAATTCCAGTGTCATCTGCATAGAAAGCTGTGACGCTATTGTACTGTGCTCTGTTAATTGGAAAATCGTAAGTGTATGATATATATAGTATTGATCAAGAATGCTGCCATGAGATATTCCAGCTGTGATGTTTCTTTTTGATGATTTGTAGTTTTGTATGGAGACTTGGAATGTTCTGTTTGAGAGATAGTAGGAAAATAGTTTAATGAGGCCAGGTGGAAAATTGAGTTGCATGAGTTTGAAAATTGTGCCAGTATGGCAGACTTTATCAAAAGCATTTGAAATATCAATCATTAGGAAAACTATTGCTTCTTTTTTGATTTGTCCTCTGCCTGTGTAGTCAATTATTCGAAGTAGTTGTTTAGTGGTATCTAATTTTTGTCTAAATCCAAACTGCTCGTCGGGAAGGGCTGTTAGTAGTGGCTTTATCCTATTGTATATGATTTTTTCGTAAATTTTTCCTAGTATGTTTAACACGTTGAGCACCGCGTCAGCCATCGGTGGCTGACACTGGACTTTCCATTTAGACCGCGTCAACCCCACCGGTGGCTGACACTGAAATTACATTCAGTCCGCGTCAACCACCGGTAGCTGACACTGAAATTACATTTAGGCCGCGTCTACCACCGCTTGCTGACACTGACCTTTCACATAGGTGGCGAAAAACAGCTGGCTGACACTGACCTTTCACACAGGCGGCGAAAAACAGCTGGCTGACAGCGTATAACATGATATAGAACTATAAAATTTACACTCTGTTATGAAATTGCAGAAAATTTATTCAAAATTTACTTAATTATTGTGATTCTTGGTTTAATAAATTCAATTCAGTAGATTTTTATCCACCACTATTTTTAAACAATTCGTAGTCTTATATAATTCACCACTTTTTTCATTTATGTCATGCTAAACCTTTTAAAATTAGCAAAATCTGTCTAATATTTGCAATTTTAGTTTGTAGTTAATTACAATTTGGCCAGACGGGCAAGCCATGTAAAATTAACGTGGCGTTCAACGTGTTAAAAGGCTGATTGGTCTAAACCAGTGTTTCCCAACCTTCCTTGTACCATGCCCCACCTAAGCCTTTTTAAATTTCTTATGCCCCCCCCCTATGTAACATATACATAATTTGTAATATTAAAAAATCGAATTGTTCACTTAAGAAACTTAGGAAATTGTTAGCCAAACAAAGTAAGTAAATTTCCATAACATATAATAAAAAACTAAAATTCAAATTCGAAATAATTTTAATAAAGATTTTTCTATAATAATTTAATATTTTAATTTAGTGAGATTCTTGCCCTTGATGCTTGCTGCACGTAGATTGAATCTTAGGTTTCAATTTGGTTAGCTTCAGGCTCAAGTCTCCCCGTTGTGTTATATCCAGACGATTTCTTTTTTCTATCAATAAAATTATTTACAGCACTAAATCCACATTCAGCTAAATATGAAGATGGAATCGGTAACAATAGTTTTCTTGCACATTTGATTGAATTTGGGTACTTGTTTTCTGTTTCCTCACGAAGCCATGCCATCACTCCTTTCATATTAAATAAAGTTTTTACTGACTCATCATTTTGCATTTCTGCAAGTTCTTCTTGATATATCAGACAAATCCACTAACATGGACTGCAACATCCATGTTGGAAAATAAATTTGTTTTAAATCAGAATACCTTTCTTTTAAATCAGCCGATAGAATTTCCAGATGATAGACAATAAAAAGTAAAGCGGTATCATTTACTTCACATTTTTGGAGCCAGTGAAACAGTTCAAAGTTTTTGTTGTTAATATATTTCTGACATAACTCAATAAGGGTAATGAAGCCAAATATCTTCGCTTTCGCATCAACAAGAGC